AGGTAAGTATGTTTTCTTTTTATCAAGTTCAAGCCTATGTTTATGCTTTAGAATTTCTCTTACATGCTCGTACATTCCACGTATTGAGCCATTTGGCCTTCATCGTTTCATGATGCAGATATAAGTATTCAGGGAATTCAACAGGAGCTTCGTTGATACCACATGGAGTTCGAGTTAGCTATGGTGAGCCTCCTTGCTTCCAGAGGGTTCCACTTGTACTTTCAGTTATATCAGTTTTTAGGATGTCGTGAGTCTTGTCCCAACTTTCATTTTTGTCAATTAGAGGCTTCATAGATAGAGAATAGAGTTTCAGAAGTCTGTTCATTTATTTTGTTAAATGTTTTAAAGACTTAAGTTGCTTATTTTATGGTGAGTTGAATATATTATTTTTATTCAAAATTATTTATTTCAGTTAAAGATTTGTAACAAAGTTCAATGAATTTTATTCAATTTTAAGCTTTGTATATGCTTGAGTTAGTCTTCCGCTTGAAGTTAGCCAGGATGAGGGTTCGCTTGGGGACCAATAATGGTTTTCCAGTGCCGGCCACATCCAGGGTATAGGCTCGGATCGTGACAGTTTCATAGGTGAAGGCGAAGGAAATCTCCAGCAACTTCTATCTTTCCTTCTGCATGGTGGGAGCTATGTCTTTTCATTATTATATTTTACCTTGTACTCTTAGTAGCTCTTGTACCTGTTTAGACTAGATCCTTGGGGTGTTAATTACTTTACAAGTCTTAACTTGAGTCGTTTTAAACTCTTGTTTTATAAAAATATTATTTGAATTTCCTTTATTCGACAGTTTTCTTAATTTTTCACATGATTTTAACCATTGGGAATCGAGGGTTCTCCTACCTAGGTGTTAGAGTAGGTTCCCTCATGGCCTGTTGGGTTGGATCATGACAATATCCCAAACAGGGATATATAAAATCGAACAGAAAATTGAATCAAATAGCAAATCAAATTAAATTGGGGAAAAAATCCAACTAACTGTTTGATCTGACTTGGTTTGGAATTGGAAAGAAAAAAATCCGATCATATACTTGGATACCAAGCCAACTCAACATTGTATATACTATTCTTAAAATTTATTTTATGCATAAAAGTATTTACTTTGATATAATTTCTAAACATATTTTATACTTTATCATAATTCTTGTCTTTAAACATATTATTTCAAGTTTTTGAGACTTAGAATTTTGAGTGATCCAATAAATGTTATAGCCCATAGTTTTTAGTAACTACAATAAAGCTCAAATTAAAATCAAATCAATGCTAATGCTAACAAAAAAAATTAATTTAACACTAAGAATGACAATAATGTTGAATATATATATGTTCTTTACTTTTACATTGATTTAGAGATTTAAAATACATAATCTAAATTTAAATTTTCTTTAATGTTTAATAATATAATTAATACTTACACTTATTTTAGCATGATTTAGTACTTTTAAATATGATCATTTTCATTATGACTTAATAATTTGCAATATTTATTTTATGCATTATATTTTTTGTTAAATATAGTGTCATCAATCATCTCATTAGGATTGATAAGGTAAGCCCTAGCCTCCCTTGCTTGTATTTATTCCTATTGAGATTTTTTTATGTTTATTATTAATAAAAAGTCACTAGACCATTGTCTAATGGTATATATTTGCTCAAAATAATAATAATAAATAAATAAAATTATTTTGTGTTATTTTCTTAAAAAACACATTAGATAATTGTATTTTGGTAGGACTAAAGAAATATTTGGAGCACAAGCTATTTATATATTTGCATAAATACTTTACCAAAAATACTTGGAAATAAAAATCCGAAAAAATCCAAGACTAAAAAATCCAAATTTTATTAGTTTGATTTGATTTATAAAATAAAAATTCGACATAAATGATTTGATTTGTTATTTAAAAAAATTGAACCAACCCTTCCATGGACCACCTAATTCCAAGTGAGAGAAAAAAATATAACGCCCTTTTTCTTTTTGAGAAAACCAAAAAATAAAGTAATAACCAAAAAATAAAGTAATATCACATTACGTAAGTCCTTGTTTTAAAAGTTATGACATTATGCATAAACAATTTGTAAAGCATGCTCGAGATAGTTTGTAATTGATAGAATTATAGGAAACAACCATATGACCTTAGCAATACATAACACATTTTATTTTACTCTTGTAATGATCTATTTCATCGTTAATAAAAATATTTGTGGTATGTATTAGGCGTGGTGTCGGAGCAAATTAAGGGATATCCTGTTTTTGACGTGGTATTCGAACAAATTATTAGTATGTACTAGAGGTGGTATCTGAACCAACCAACAATCACACATCACAGCCACAACAAATACAAAATACAAAACACACTGTACACCAAGTGTATTGCATGCGATTGTCCACTTCCCTAGCCATAATTATATATATAATACTAATAAAGAAGTTAACAAGCATATATTACATAACGAGAATCAAACAATCATCACCCACCCGGAAATATTCTTTCCCGAACGTTCCCGGCTCATAATTCGATTAACCACAATCACCTTTCCCAGGATAATGCCCAACAATCATCACAAAATCAACATTCACTAATCATGTCCATCGTCAGCCTAAACCACAAGTTAATCCCATATTTAATCATTGAGACTCCGTGTGCGAAGACCAATGCATACAATCTCCTGATAATCCACAAGATATGATTTAAATTAAGACAACTTACATGTAAAACCCTTAAACAGAGAGAGGTAATAGTAATCTCTTATGGTCCTTAGTTAGGTCTAGTAAGTGAGAATTTTAGTTAGGTCTAGTAAGTAAGAATTTGTAGAAGTAATATATTTATATTAATTAAAACTAATTTTAAGGTGTTAGTATCTCTTTTAATTCAATCAATGAGTCATTAAATCAGATAAATTACTCTTTTTAAAAACATAACTATTATAAAGAATGGCGAGAATTTCGTAAAATTAATTCGGGGTTGAGTCTCAGATCGAGGTCAGGTCGTGGGTCGAGGTTGGATCTCAGGTTTCTCGAGCATGCTTTACATATTGTATATGCATAATGTATAACTTTAAAAACAAGGACTTACGTAATGTGAGAATGACTATTTTATTTTTTGATTTTCTCAAAAGAGAAAAACACATTATATTTTTTTCTCACATGGAATATAATGGTATCATAAATGTGCTTTTTACAAAATATTCACCATTCATTATTACTTTAATATGTACTATTAAAAACAATAATTTATCTTAAGTTATGGCTCAAGTCTCAACAATTGAATGAAAAGATACTCTAACACGTCTAAATAAAAAAGTTTACTTGATATAAGTATTTTACTTTTTCAAATTCTCACTTACCCGACCTAACTTAGGACCATTAGAGATTACCTTTACATATCTCTAATTAAGGTCTTCACATTTAACCCTAGGCTAAAATAGCCTTGCCAAACTTAGCTTTGAGGACTGCCACTAATAATAAATTTATTTTTTTAACGCCATTTATTAACTTCCATATACATAATAATTTATAGTTAATAGCATATTGGAAACATGTCATATTGGAGCCCATATTTCTCGGAGAAAAAACTTTAGAATAAAATTAAGTGTGATCTATTGACTGTTATTTTGTGTATTAATTACCTAATATGTTTTGTCTATACTTAATTGTAAGGTGTTGTGATTGGTTTATTACCATTGTCTTTTCTCTCAATTACAAACAATTGTAATATCTCAAAAATGCTTGAGATATTATTGAAATATAACGTAGAACTTTAAAACAAGAAGTTACTTAATCTGATACTCGCTCTGTCCCAATTTATGTGACTTACTTTCCTTTTTAGTCAGTCCCAAAAAGAATGACACATGATTTGATACGGACCTTGGGTCTATTGGGGTGTTACAATATTATATCTAGTTTTTAATTTAATCTAATATGAAAAGAGCACATTTATTGTGTCATTATATTCCAAGTGAGAAAAAGAACATAATGTGAGTTTTGTGACTAACATAGTACCTTGATATACTACCCTTCTTGACACATGGTCTTGTACTTTGTGACTAACATAATACTTTTCTTTTAAGTTATTTTTAACATTGTCAAACACCTTCTAACTTATTTTTTAAGTTATTTTTGGTTTATTTTAAGTTATTTTTATGTGTTAAACACTTCTAGAAGTAAAAAACTAACTTAAAAGTAGATTTGACCAACTTTTAAGCCATCCAAATACCCTCTAATTCCATGTCATAGGATTGTGTGAGAGTATTATGATTTTTAATAATTTAAAAAATAAATTAATTAAATAATGCTAAAAATAATAATTATCAAATTTATACAATGAACTTATTAAGTTTATATATTGATTTATTTTCATACTTATTCTATTATAACATGTCAAGGTGCTAAATGATAACACTCTCTAATAAATATTTTATAATATCATTTCTATAGTAGGTTGAATTTTGAAATTGTCATTAAGTCAGTATTTACAATTACATTATAAACTGACCCGCAACACGCAGGTATGTATACTAGTATATATTTAAAGAGAGAAAGAAAAAAAATAAGTTTTAAAAACTTCCTCTCTGTTTAAAAAATAATGTACTTTACTATATTAAAAACAATTTTCTTCTACCTTTAATGATATGATTTACAATCACACAATTATTTTCAAAAATCTTTCATGTGATTGTTAACCATCATGACAAGTCAAATGATATTGAATTAATTAATTTCTATGGTCCCAATGATCTTCAAGTGGATGAGTTTGAACCTAACTGATGAGGATATATGTGAGGGAGATATTGGAAGTTGTAAGTCTTTAATAATATTATTTAGGCATGGAACATAATATATCTACGTATAATACATTTTTTAATCATTTATATAGGATGGGGGGGGGGGGTAAGTTAAGGTAGGGGTGGAGTAAATAAAAAGCAGCACTATAAAAAGGGGATATTGAATAGAAAAAAGTATTATCAAATCATCATCATGTGTTCAAAAATGTGTGTTGTTTTCCTCACTATTCTGCTTTCCATCATCACCACTAGTCCTCTAGCCCATGCTCAACTCGGTCTTGGTGGTATTGTTAATCCCATTCTTGGCCGACCCATTGTACCACCCGTTGGTGGTCAAGTACCACCCATTGGTGTTGGCCAATTACCCATTGGTATTGGTCCCCTTCTTGGTCCCATTACTGGTCCCATTCTTGGTCCCATTGCTGGTCCCATTCTTGGTCCCATTCTTGGCCAACCCATTAGACCACCGGTTGGTCAAGTACCACCGATTGTACCACCGGTTGCCCAAGTACCACCGGTTGGTCAAGTACCACCCATTGTTGGACAAGTACCACCCATTGTTGGCCAATTAGAACCCCTTCTTAACCAACTATTACCACCCATTGTTGAAAGATTATTACAAGACATTGTTGGAAGATTATTACCATCCATTCTTAACGAAGTATTACCAGGCATTGTTAGCCAGCTAATACCGCCCATTGTTGGTCAAGTACCATCTATTGTGCCACCCGTTAGTCAAGTACCATCCATTGTACCACCCGTTGGTCAAGTACCACCCATTGTACCACCCGTTGTTGGACAACCAGCTAATATAACTATACGGGGTGTTGTGTCTTGCTCCACATCGGGAAATGCCCCAGGCCCCGGAATTGGTGGAGTAAATGTGGCCATTATTTGTGGCAACACAACCCTTGCTCAAGTGATCACAAATGTTGAAGGTTTAATAAATGTTACATTGAGCACCAATACAAATATTTTGTTTGGAAATACTTCAACTCTTTCATGTGTTGCAAGGGTTGCTCTCCCAATTGTTAATTGTACTTTGTTGCCCACCTCAGGAATTCTTCAAGCTCCCCTCATGCTTGTTGGAAACATCATTCAGGGTGTGGGTGGTGTAGTTTTATCAGCACTTGTGGGGACATTTAGTTTAGTAACATTGACGATATAGTCAAGCTTGGTCATTTCTATTTCTCCACTCCTTAATAATGCATGACTCTTTCACTTAATAAATACCTAAATAAATACTCATATCATATGGAATGAGTATAAAAGGTCATGTGTCTTTATGTTAACTATTATCTTATTATATATATAATAAATAAATAAATGGTGTGAGTGGATAATTAACTACTTCTAATTTCATTTAATAGTCAAGTTTTATCTCTTTTACAAATGCACTATTATATATATTTGTTTTTATATATTCTTTTCATGTGAGTCATGTGTTTAATTTATCCTATAATTAATTAATGATTTGTAGATGTTGAGTCTTTCAACTCTTAGTTAATGAATGTTTGTATCTCGTATATATGAGTGGGGTGCTAAAATTATATACAGGAATACACTTGACATATTTCATCTGTGCCACCGTAAAAGTAAACCACTTTCTATAAGAATTGAGAGAATATATATATATTCTCAAAATTAATACTCATGAAAGTAATAAATTGGGATAGTACATATATGTGTTGGCTATTAAAGCTAATTGTGTCTACACCTTGATTATTGTGTGTAAGCAATGATACTTTGTTTTGCTTAAGCAATCATAGTTCAAGTCTAAGACCATTACTGACTCTATAGTAAGAATTATTGTTTTACTATGTAAATGTTCGATGCATAGGACACACATTCATTACGCATAATATATAGCCTCCCTTCTGTTATCTCTTGTATTCAGATTAGCAAACCAGAAATAATAAAAGATGAAAAGAAAAACACAAAGAACTATCCGAGTCCACAGAACCCACTGTGTGTCCTTAAGAAATTTAATCCCCTCAAGTACCCGAGGTTGCAGATTAATTCCTCCCAAGATAAAACGGATTAACCATTAAAGAAGTAGCGGTACCTCAAACTTCGATAATTTCAACGAACTCAAAATGATAGCAACGAATCACACACACAGACACGATCGATCGATTTTGTTTTGTAAGAAATGTATGCAAAAGAAGGGAAGAATTCGATACAGAAAAATCAGAGAAAACCTCTCTATTTATAGCCAACAAAGGGTAAAGGTCACAACTCTTTGGAAAGAAAACAACCTTTCAGAAAGGTCACAACACTTTGGAAAAGGCATAACCTTTCAAACGGTCACAATCCTTTAGAAAGGACACAACCTTTCATAAAGTTCACAACCCTTCGGCATAGTCACAACTATTCAGGAGAGTCACAACCCTTCATTTCCTGTTCACACCTTTAAAACCCAACAATCCCCCGCATGAATAGGGAATGGCTATTGTTAAAACATATGCATGAAAAACTGTGTGATTTGTAATTAAGGATTGATTGCCTCTGGATAAGTGGGTTTCCCTTTGAAATTTCCGTAGTGAACATATATCGGATATACTCGGTCAATCGGTAGATTTGATATCTTTGAACCGTCGAGCTTTGGTGTATACCTAGACAACATAAGTCACACAATCAACCCTTGAACTGTTTTTGGTTCTCATTGTTTTGTTCGTTTCAGCCATGAACATGTCTCGGTTTATAAGTGCGTAGAGAACTGGCCTTACCGGATTCTCCTTGATGCGGCTTGCACTTCACACTTACATAGGTGATTTCTAAATGTGTTATCCCGTAGATACACCATTTGATATACCCTGTATCAAACTTAGAAATCATTAAAAAGTCCTAATGCCTTTATCCTTGTTACTGAACATTGTCTTATCATGAGAATGGACCATAAAAAATATTTTGACAATGTTGAAACGTCATCAATGACTTTGTTTGATCTCCTTGAACCTAGATCTTGGGATCTCCAGTCTTCTAGGTAGATACCGCCACAATGACTTTTTCTCGGCCATAGTACCATTCCCTTTGATAATCTATCAACTCCCTCTCTAGTTAGGCCTTTTATAAGTGGATCCGACACATTATCCTTTGACTTTACATAGTCAATTATGATAATTCCACTAGAGAGTAGTTCTCTAACGATATTATGTCTACGTCATATATGACGAGACTTTCCGTTATACATCATGCTCCATGCCCTACCTATTGCAAATTAACTCTCACTGTGTATGCATACTAAAGCTAAAAGGTTTGGGCCAAAAATCTTTCAACAAATTTTGGAGTCATTCAACTTCTTTACCGGCCTTATCTAGAGTGATAAACTCAGATTTCATAGTAGAGCGAGCGATACATCTCTGTTTGGAAGATTTCCAACAGACTGCTCCTCCACCAAGAGTAAATACATATCCACTCGTGGATTTTACTTCATTTGACCTGGTGATTCAATTTGCATCACTATATTCTTCCAATACTGTTGAATATTAGTTATAATGCAAAGCAATAGTTTTTTTTTAAGTATGTTTTAAATACTCCAAAACTCTTTTCATTGTCATCCAATGAGTTTGATTGAGATTACTCGTGAACTGACTTAGTTTATTAATAGCATATGCTATATCTGATCGCGTACACTTCATGATATTTGTCATACTTCTCAATACTCTAGCACAATCTAATTGTGAGTCACTTTTGCCTTCATTCTTTTGAAGTACAAATCTCACATTTATTGGAGTCTTGACAATATTGAAATCCAAATGCTTGAACTTGTCAAGTACATTTTCAATCACATCAGTAACTTCAATGTCTTTCATATCGAAGTTACTTTCTAGCATATGCTTAGTAGCATTTATGTTAGAAATGTCTGTTTTGACGATCACAATGTCATCAACATAAAAACAAATAATGACCTTGTGATTTGGAGTGTCTTTAATGTAAAAACATTTATCACATTCATTAATCTTGAATTCATTTGCCAACATAGTTTGGTCAAACTTCGCATGTCATTATTTGGGAACTTGTTTTTAGTCCACAGAGTGACTTAACAAGTTTACAGACTTTCTTTTCTTTACCAGAACCACAAAGCCTTTGGGTTGTTCCATGTAAATTTCTTCCTCCAATTTTCATTTAAAATAAAAATGTTTTCACATCCAATTTGACGAATTTGAAGGCAATATTTCGCAACTAGCGCAATTAACATCTGAATTGATGTAATCCTAGTTAGTGCTATTATCTGTCAAACAAGGCTTTCTTATTGTCTAAAGCCTATGACAACAAGTCTGTCTTTGTATTTGTCAATAGTTTCATCAACTTTCTTTTCCTTTTGTAGATCCACTTGAATCCAAAAGTTTATTTCCTCGAGGAAGATCAACCAACTCTCAAGTATGGTTGCTCAAGATTGAATCTATCTTACTATTGACAAACTTTTCTCAAAGAGAATGAGTCCACAAAGGACATAACTTTTAGAATATATGAGACTCATTTTCAAGAAGAAATGTTACAAAATCAAACTCGTAGGAAGTAGTTTGTCCATTGACATTTACTACACCTCCGAATCTCTTTATTAAGTACATTCTCCTTTGGTTCTTTCCAAGGTCGTTTAGACCCTTCACTTGACTATCCAACAATTCGGACTTATGAACTATAAATCGACATGCTTTACTATTTGTAGCATATCCAATGAAGATACAATCCAAAGTCTTAGGTCCTATTTTGACCCGTTTGGGAATAGTTCCCTCATTTCCATTTCTCATATGAAATAGACTGTATTGGAAATTGTTTGATCACTATCTTTCAAGAGTTATTGCTTGTATAAACTTTAAGGGACGAGAAACAATTCTCTATCAGGATACAACAAAGACTGAACAAACACAACTTTCTGTTGCTCCCTTTCTTAACAAACAAATGTTTTTTTTTATTATTTGTTACTCTCTTTACTAACAAACAAAACTTTTTGTTTCTCTCTTTATGAACAGACAATTTTTTTTGTTGTTGTTCTCTTTTGCTATAATGATAGCACCCCCCACAAATTTTGTGGTAAACCTAAACTTATAAATAGGACATTCAACATTTCCTTCAAAGTTCGGTTTTTTCCTGTCAACAATTTCATTAGCTTGAGGTGAGAATGTGCAGTAATTTGATGGATGATTCCATTTTCCAAATATATTTCTGCAAAAGAAGATTCATATTCTCTACATATACCACTTCTAATCATGACAATCTTTTTATCCAACTGATTTTCAACTTCAGTTTTATATTGCCAATATGTTTCTATTGCTTCATCTTTACCATTCAGTAAACAAACATAACAGTATCTAGTGCAATTGTCAATAAGGGCAATATGACCCAAATATTTGTTTTACAACACAAACATAACATATCACTTTTCACCAATGTTCATGTCTATAAAAAAAATTAATAGACATATCTTTTCATGAAAAATCACAATATTTTAAAGTGGAACTTTTTCATTAAAGAATACAATTCTTTTCGATGAGTAATATAATTTTGTGGTTTCATACTAGTCATATCATAAACTAGTAAAGAGAGACTCAACGACCACAATATCAATTATACTCCAAGAATTTTGTGGGTCTAACATAATACAAGATTGTCATTAAATTTCATATCTTGTACTTTCAAATTTAAATTAGATAGTAAGTCTAATTTTGTCTTTATCACAAGTAAAGAACCCCCCACATTTTAAATATGTTCTCAAAAATATTTTTCAAGTATTTCAAATTATTTTCCACATATTTTTTCTCATGCTTACACATTGGCAACACGAAGCCTTCTTTTGGAGATTTAATCCATATAAACACCCATTGCCGGCACAAAAACCACTAATTTTATGTCACTAGTGTTTTTTTCCCTTTTTGTCACAACTAGACAAACAACTTAGTAGTTAGAATACTAACAATAAAGATTCAATCTTTATACAACTTGTTTCTAGTTTAACGATGAAGTTTTTATATTCTTCTAATCGTTAACCGAATGAACCTTGAATTCTGATGAAGTTTTAATATTCTTTGAATCAGTTTCACATTCAGACAGAGTAGTAAACCAAAAAGGTTTTAATCTCCAGAAACCTCAAATACAACACTGTTTCGAGCTAATGATGAAGATTTTATTTTTTTTCAATCATTTAGCCTTAATATTCCTGACGAAGATTTTGTACTCTTCAAGTCAAAATATTCATTGAAACAGAGTATTTAACAAATTGGTGAAGTTTCTATATTCTTCAAACCAATGCACAATCTGATTTGTTCGTGAAGTTCTTATATTCTTCAAATCAAAGGAGGAAAAAAAATCTCCAGAAGTCAAACACAATCAAATTTCACATGGAGTAG